ACAGTAGATACAGTCCCCATAGTAGAAAGAGCTCAGGCTCTACTGGAACAAAACAGATCTGGTTTTGAATCTTAGCCTCCCTCAGCCTCAGTTTCCTCCTTAGTAGAATGGAATAAACCCCCAACTTGCACGATGGTTGCGAGAATCAGAGAGAAGAAATCAGAAGTGCTGAAAGACCCTCTGTGATATCCCCAGTAGTACCCCAGGCCCAGCAGTCACTAGGGAAACACAAAACAATTATAGAGCTCTCTTTTTTTCCCATGCCACAACAGAAGACAATCTCCAACTCTCTGGGAAATTTTTAAATAAATTAATTAAAATATCCTCAATCTTACCTTCAAAACACAAAACTGAAATTAAGGTATAGTTGTTTACCCTATCAGATTGATGATAATACCTTGTTGATGAGAGCGTGACCAAAGTGTACTATCATGTACCTATCTGAGAAATATAAAGTTGAATAGCCTGTTTGGAGGTCAACTTGGTGACACATCTCAAACATTAAAATGTTTATACTTCTTAGACCAAGGAATTCCACTTAAGGAATTCCTGCCTTTTGGAAGTATCAGCACAAATATACAAAGCATGTTCTCTGAGGCACTTTTTATAATAGCCAGACACTGGAAACAATTTTAATGTTCATCAGTAGCAGATTGATTAAATCAATGGGCCTGTCCAGACTATGGGATACTAACTCTGCAGCCATTAAAAAGAGTAAATGAATTTGAGGTAATGGAAATGTTTTGGAACTAGATAGAGGTGGTAGTTGTACAACCTTGTGAGTATACTAAATAGCATTGAATTGTTCACTTAAAAAATGGTTAATTGTAGGTGGGGCACAGTGGCTCCTACCTGTCATCCCAGCAGTTTGGGAGGCTGAGGCAAGAGGATCTCTTGAGACCAGAAGCTCAAGACCAACTTGGGCAATGCAGCAAGACTCCATGTCTACAAAATTAAAAACAAAAAATTTAGCAGGCACTTGCTTAGTGGTGGAACTTGCCTGTAGTCTCAGCTACTCAAGAGGCTGAGGTGGGAGGATCACTTGAGCCCAGGAGTTTGAGATTACAGTGAGCTATGACTGCACCACTGCACTCCAGTATGGGCAACAGAGCAAGACCCACCTCTAAAAAAACAACAACAAAAAAAGTAATTGAGTTATATGAATTTCACCTCAAGATGTTGTCAAGTAGAAAGAGAAAGCATTCAGTTTTCTATGAATATTAGCAAACACACAGAAAAAGTTTGGCAATAGCTAGATAGAACAAACTTAATAGTTGTTATTTCTAGGAGATAGACTTGGAGAAATGAGGGCATTTGTACTTAATTTTAAACCATTTTGTAATATATGAAAATTTAAAGTTAGCATACATTATTTTCAAATTGGTAGGAGGAGTTTAAAGTTGGCCAAAGACTGAAAATATAACCGGGTAGGAGGTTGATTCTCTCAAGTGAAAGTGGAAACTTTCATTTTGAATTTTCTGTTTTTGTGTTTTCCTTTCTTTCTGCTCTTTAATTCTCAACCCAGCTGCCATCAGAACTGCAAATTGGGTTGAGCAAGTTACTTAATGACTCACTGGGCTTGTTTTGACCTTTTAATGCTTGTGGCTAATTGATTCAGAGTGCTGGGGATCTGCATGCATTTAGTTACTGGTTACTGTTTACAAGGGACTGTTTTTAAAAGATCACAGGGATTTGCAAGATCCCATTAGTGAACTGTGTATTTGGTGCAAGTACTTTCTTGATCTGCATAGGGCTGGTCCAGCCATCATGAGCTCATTAGTGAGCACAGGAGCTCCCCCGTGCTTTTGCCAGCCTAAGGGGCTTGTGTTGCTACTTGCAAACAGAGCAAGCTTCCTGCTTCCGGAAAGTTGTAGCAATACCCTGAAGCTCTTTGAAGTTTCTTTTTACGGTTTTCATTTACTCATATATATCTATATGTTTTTAAAAATTTAAAACTGAAACGAGGTCTTGATTTGTTGCCCAGGCTGGTCTCAAAACTCCTCAGCTCAAGAGATCCACCTGCCTTGGCTTCCCAAAGAGCTAGGATTACAGGCATGAGCCACCAAGCCCTGCCTTGTTTTTTCTTTTCTTTCTTTCTTTCTTTTTTTTTTTTTTTTTTTTAAGAGGGAGTCTTGCTCTGTTGCCCAGGCTAGAGTACAGTGGCACAATCTCATCTTACTACAACCTCTGTCTCCTGGGTTCAAGCAATTCTCCTGCCTCAGCCTCCCAAGTAGCTGGGATTACAGGCATCTACTATCACGTCCCGGTAATTTTTTTGTATTTTTAGTAGAAACGGGATTTCACCATGTTATTCAGGCTGGTCTTGAACTCCTGACCTCAGGTGATCCGTCTACCTCAGCCTTCCAAAGTGCTAGGATTACAGGCATGAGCCAACATGCCCGGCCTTATTTTTCTTCAGACATAAAAATTTATAAAGTAGGACAGAAATCACCCATAATGTCAACATGAAAAAACAGTACAGTTTTGTGATCTCTTTATGTCTTTGATTATGTGAATTTTTTGCATACCTATAAAATGTTCACATATAGATTTTTAATCCTTTTAGCCTACATAGAAGGGATTTTTACATTTTAAATTATCTCTGAATTGTTTTAATGGCTAGATAATATTACATCCAGCAGGTAATTATAACTTTTTTTTTTTTTTTAAAGAAGGTGTCTTGCTCTTATTTCCCAGGGTGGAGTACAGTGGCATGATCTCGGCTCGCTGCAACTTCTGCCTCTCATGTTCAAGCAATTCTATCTTAGCTTCCTGAGTAGCTGGGATTACAAGTGCCTGCCACCACACCTGGCAAATTTTTATACTTTTAGTAGAGACGGGGTTTCCCCATGTTGGCCAGGCTGGTCTCAAACTCCTGAGCTCAGGTGATCCACCCACCTCAGCCTCCCAAAGTGCTGGGATTACAGGTGTGAGCCACCGCACCCTGCCAATTATATCTTTCTTAACAATGCCCTTATGTTGAGTAGTTCTTTTTAAAAATTTCTTTACTTTCTGGAATTTTATTGTTGAATCTCAAAATAATTGGGAACTGCCTTAGAATGCTTTTGTGATGAAGGCTCATATGTCATATGCAGACTCAGTTCCTGACCTCAGGAAGGTTATAGTTAAGAGCAGGTGACCAATAATATAATCAAGTGTGACATGTCAGAGGAATGTCCAAATTGTTATGGTAGGAGGTAGAATGATAGGAGAATGTTGGTGAAGACTTCTTAGAGGAGGTGCTATATGAGTTACATCCTGAGGACAGTGAAGAGTTGGCCAACTGTGAAATGATGGAAATATATTCCAGGAAGAGAAGATTGCTCAAAGGGAGTACAGAGGATGGCAAAGCATGACATATTTAGGGAATGACAGATAGCCTGGTTTGGTTGGAGAAATGGAGGCTCGTGGATGAGTGGCAGGATGGGATCCTAAATATGGAGACTGGTCAGATTACAAGAGACTTCTGGGCTGGGCGCAGTGGCTCACGCCTGTAATCCCAGCACTCTGGGAGGCCAAGGGTGGTGGATCATGAGATCAGTAGATTGAGACCATCCTGGCTAACACAGTGAAACCCTGTCTCTCCCCAAAATACAAAAAATTAGCCGGGTGTGGTAGTGGGCACCTGTATTCTCAGCTACTCGGAAGGCTGACACAGGAGAATTGCTTGAACCCAGAAGGTGGAGGTTGCAGTGAGCTGAGATTGCCCCACTGTGCTCCAACCTGGACAACAGAGTGAGACTCCGTCTCACACACACACACACAAAAGTGACTTTCTGTGCCAAGCTGAGGAGTTGAAACTTTACACTGAAGTCCACAGAGAGCCGTGGTGGGGAACACTTCCTAAACAAGAATGTGGTTTTTGAGCACAGCAATACCTCATTGCTTTGGCAAAGTCTCCGGTAAGTGTGATGAAATTTTCTAGGATGAAGACTGAAAGTGCTGCATTCAGCTTTCTTCCAGATCATTTGTATTTGTCACAAGAAAGCATTCTGACAGCATGTTTAAGTCACAAAGGTAGACTTCAGGTGGTTAGACTGCCCCAGAGGCTACTGGGGCCTCTTTGGGAATAGGAAAATACCTTGGGGACAGGAATCATCTGCTGCGAAGATGGTATTTGGTATGTGTATTAGTCAGGACTTTTCAAGCTGACAGGACCCAATGAGATAATAGAAAGGGAAATGTCTTAGCCCACATAACAAAAGTGTCTAAGGGTCCTTCTGGTTTTAGGCACAGTGGGATCCAGAGGCTCAAGCAGTACTGGTAAAGCTTGCTCCCTTCTTGCCTCCATTGGTCACGCCATCCTTCATTCTGGGTCTCTTTATTCTCTCCTGTAGCAGACATATGCTTCTGTGTGACGAGGGAGAGTTGCTGCTGTAAGCCTGTTTGTGTTATCTCTTGAACTCAAAATCCCAAAGGAATACTCTTCCCTCCTTTCTCCCATAAATCATGTGACAAATTTCAGGGAATCACATGCCCATCTCTAACCAGGATGGTGGAATACTCTATTGGTCAGGTCTGGGGGAGCTCACCAAAACTATATGAAATAGAATACCCAAAGATAGTGGGATTCTATTTATAGGAGGAGGAGGGTAGGAGTACTGGCCAAATGTTTAAACAATACATAAATAAAGGCCATTCGCTGTTGTTATCTCTCATAATTCTAAAGAGGGAAGAAGTCCACTGGAAAAAAGTAGAGCTCATCACGTATCCAAGAACTGCCTTCATGCATGAGTTTGGCCTGACATGTGCTTGTGCTCTAGTCCAGTTGGTATCCAGGTCGTACAGGATGGATACTCCCAGCACATGTTCCAAACCCTGTCCAATTTTCCTTAGCACGTAGACTCAAGACAATGCCCTACTTCCCAAAGGCCTTGTGGCAATGTCCTCTTTTTTCTTTCACATATATGATTTATATTCTGTCAACGACAGGAAACTGCTCGAAGATCCACCCAGTCCTGCCACTGCCCCCGTGATGATTTGTTTTTCTCATTGTTTAGCGCTCCATTAGCTTCCGCAGCGAGAGCCGCCCTGACATCCTTGCCCCCCGACCCTGGTCCAGAAATGCCGCCCCCTCAAGCACAAAACGGAGAGATAGCAAGCTGTGGAGTGAGACTTTCGATGTGTGCGTCAATCAGATGCTTACATCCAAGGAAATCAAACGTCAGGAGGTAGGTCCCTGGTCCATGGAGTTCGCAGTGTGTCTGGAACAAAGACGCACTGCAGGTGACACCTGTGCTGGAGTTTGTGCCTCAGTCTCCAAATCAATTCTTGATTGCATTTGTAGAAGGAGGAAAATGGGAGTGTCTGACCTTGGGGAGGGAACTGAGAAACCAAAACCCAGCTGGTAGGGTGTGGCCCTCACTTTAAAAAGAAACTGATGTGAACATCTGAATTTACAAGAAGATAAAACCAAGTGTCTATTTGGGATATTGAATTCACAAAAATAATCATTTGAGTAATATTTTGATAGCAAATTACAGAGTATTTTTAAATATTTAATTTATATAACTTTGATTCTGCTTTGTGGAAAACTTCCTTTCTATAGAATCCAGTTAATTTTACTCCCTGTAGGTTTTCTGTATCAATTTCCCTAAATGACTGTGATAATATTACCCTGTATAGAAGAGCTTGTCTAAATGCTTGTGCCAGGCACTTCATGTCTGCATCATCCGATGAGATCCTTGGAGTATCCAGCCCAGGGTTGCACCTTCACCTGCTTTGTCCCCGGTTTACCAGGCAGCCCTAGGCAGAGGGAGCTTTCAAAGCCTGACCACTTTTTCCCTATAGCCTGAAACATAGTAGACCCTGAACTATTGTCACAAACTTGTAGTCCTTTAATAATGTAATATTTGCTGACGATTTCACTTCCCAGATGGGAGTGAAAGAGTGTTCTCTGCATCATAGCTCTTTAGCATGATGGCTTAATAGAGCCAAATTAGAAATGGTCCATTTACACACTCTTCCACACAGTCAGCGCCTATAATTTTATTTATTGTACTTGTGGGGCTGAGAAGTAATTTAGAATGAATTAACTTCACCACAGTGTATTTGGAGTGATAAAATATTGGATTCTTCCTACAACCTCAGCCTCAAGGCAGTGGAGAATGCAAATAAAACTTTCTGCTGAGATTCACCTTCTGTTGAGTAGAAGAAAAAGTGGGGATGGTCCAGTTAATAATATTGTCACTTACATTATCTAGAACAGCCCCTGAATCACTTGTAATGATTGCCTCTCACAACAAGGGTGCCAAATCCATGGCTCACACTGTAATTATTTTACCTAAAATAGTTCCTACTGGCGCACGCGGTGGCCCACACCTGTAATCCCAGCACTTTGGAGGCCGAGGCAGGCAGATGATGAGGTCAGGAGTCTGATACCAACCTGACCAATATGGTGAAATCCCATCTTTACAAAAAATACAAAAATTAGCTGGGTGTAGTGGCATGTGCCTGTCATCCCAGCTACTCAGGAGGCTGTGGCAGGAGAATCTCTTGAACCCAGGAGGTGAAGGTTGCAGTGAGCCAAGATCATGCCACTGCACTCCAGCCTGGGCGACAGAGCGAGACTCTGTCTCAAAAAAAAAAATAGTTCCCACTTGTTCAGCTCCATCAAAGTTCTGTAACATGAAAGATGACTTTTTGGATTAGAAATGTGTGGAAACTTTCTCCCACAGAGAAGCACAATTTCATTGCAGGTTTAAGCACAGATGCATTTGTTTCAGGTTAATATAACTTTTTGAGACTAACTTTAAAATACTTAAATATGTAAATTTGGGGGTTTGAGTGGTGGAGCCAGCACTGTTTGAATATGGTCTTGTAAATGAAGGGAGAATTCAGTTAATATGTTTGCCTTTCCTCACAGGCGATCTTTGAGCTTTCCCAAGGAGAAGAAGACTTGATAGAAGACTTGAAATTAGCAAAAAAGGTAAATTTAAATCCAGCAGTCATTTGAGTCATATATTTTTCTTGAGTAATTTAACAACCCTAAAGTGGTGCTTCATGACAACTCTCTTTATAACTAAGACTGGTCATCAAAATTGAGAAGAATCTGCTACCACACACCAAACGGGAAAATGCTTCAAAACAAGAAGGCAGAATAGCTCTCCAGAACTTGCACCTTTAGGGGTTTACCTCTGTATGTCTCTAATGCATCTCAAAGAATACTTCAGCCTAAATCCGAAAGTGTCCATGGAGTCCTCGCTTTATGTATATTTCCTTGTCCTAGAAGTCTCATATGTAGGACTCTTTGTCCATGAGAGAGAATGTGTGCATATCTGAAACTTGAACTGTGTTTTAGAAATAAAGCCATTTGAATCTCAAAAGTGAATAAAGTTAAATGAGGCAATTGCCTACTAGCATATAAGTTGGGGTCTTTTATATGGGAATGTGTTTTCTAGTCAACATTTTGTATGGGGAGGGGAAGGACAACAAACCTGCCTCAAAAATGTTTCTATTCCAGTAACACAGCCCCCCAATTCCATGGCTCGTAGGCTAAAATTCAGACTCCTTTATCTGATATTCACAGCCTCCTCAAAGAATCACAGGGTTGGAAGAATATCTCCCTTCTTTTAAGGGTTTTTAGTCTGCTAAAATGAAATTCCACTTTTAGCATTCCTGAGAGATGGCCACCCAAGCTTTGCTTAGACACAGCCAAGAAATGAGTTTTAGGCAGGGCTGGAGGAGGAGGAGTTGAGAGAGGGCAAAAAGTTATTTTACTCTGTTTCACTCTGAGATGTTATCATGCTGGTCACATGTCTAATTCCCCTTTGCTGCATCAAGATTTGCCAAACTCAAGCACCTTCAGATGTTTCCCTGCCATCCTTTTGTTAATGGTGGCCCTACCTTCCTAGAAACTTTTCTCTTTCCTTTAAACCATCCGTATCCACCCATCCTTCAAGAACCAGCTCAAATCTCAATTCATTCTTATATAACATTTATTGCCTCTCTGTACCAAGGAGCTCATCTTCAAAACTTCCCTTGGCCACTCCAGTTTTAATTCTCTGACTCTCTTGTGCTCGCTTCGGCAGCACATATACTAATTCTCTGACTCTCTAGAGCAGTTATGATTTGATGGCTTTTTGCTGTCATGTGACATCAGTCTTGTTTTTAATCTTTAACTAATTTTTAAACATAAGCTAGACCCAGTGGCTCATGCCTGTAATACCAACACTTTGGGAAGTCAAGGGGGGGCAGAACACTTGAGGTCAGGAGTTCAAGACCAGCTTGGCCAATATGGTGAAACCCCTTGACTACTAAAAAAAATACAAAAATTAGCCAGGCATGCTGGCGGGCATCTATAATTCCAGCTACTTAGGAGGTTGAGGCAGGAGAATCACTTGAACTCAGGAGATAGAGACTGCAGTGAGCTGAGATTGTGCCATGTACTCCAGCCTGAGTGACAGAGCAAGACTCCGTCTCAAAAAAAAAGTTTCTTTTAATTTAAACATAGATTTCATTTTCCATGAGATCAGAAACTAAAATATAAAACTAAAAATATTTTGGCTTTTCTTATCTTCCCCATTAGCTTTATAAAACTCCTTAAGGCTGAGTGCGGTAGCTCACTCCTGTAATTCCAGCACTTTGGGAGGCCAAAGTAGGCAGATCACAAGGTCGGGAGATGGTGACCATCCTGACCAACATGGTGAAACCCAGTCTCTACTAAAAATACAAAAAAATTAGCCAGGCATGGTGGTGCACGCCTGTAGTCCCAGCTACTGGGGAGGCTGAGGCAGAAGAATTGCTTGAACCCAGGAAGTGGAGATTGCAGTGAGCCAAGATCGCACCACTGCACTACAACCTGGGTGACAGTGCGAGACTCTGTCCACCCCCCGCACCAAAAAAAAAAAAAACTCCTTGAAGGCAGGAAACAGATTCTAAGTCTTCATATTCTGTTTCAGTGCCCTGGATATAACTATATTCTTGTTCAATTATCTCTAATAAGAGATGATAGGATTGGCAGAGGTTTTACTCTCTTTGTTCAAATAGTACTACTAGATACCAGTCACTGTTTCTTTCCTCTTTTTCTTTATTTTAAATATGTACTCATTGAAAAAAAGAATCTGCTGGTAGCTAGTTTTGAATAAAGTGGGATTTTTTTTTTTTTAAATAGGCAGGATCTTATTTTGAAAACATTCTAACAGTCAAATCTGTTCTATGCCTAAGATTTGTACTCTTTCCTAGGTACATGATATACTAGAATACAAAAAAAAAAAACTTTTAAAAAATCTGCTTTGGTTTATCAACAACCTTGAAACAAAGTTTCAAGGCAGTGCTGGTTTTTCCTCTCCTCCAGCCACACCTATTTGCTGTTTCTGAAGCTTTATGGGAGAAGTTGTTAAAGAGCTGAAAATCTTGTTATTGGATAGGACCTCTCAGGAGCCACTTATATAAACAATGTACTTCCTCTGATTTTAAACATTTACTTACATCTCTTGCCTTTTTTGTGCAGGCTTATCATGACCCTATGCTGAAACTCTCCATAATGACAGAACAAGAGTTGAATCAAATTTTTGGAACACTGGACTCTCTAATTCCTCTACATGAAGGTATAATTTTGTTCCAGGACGAGTTGTGACTTGTAGCCTTAATTGAGTTGTCTTATAACGAGTGAGTGATTATGAAATGCCTGCCATGTGAATAACTCAGAACCTACTTCCAGCCCTGTTCATATTTAAATGCCTAACAAATAAGCATTCTGTCTGTTTTTTGCCAGAGCTCCTTAGTCAGCTTCGAGATGTTCGGAAGCCTGATGGCTCGACTGAGCATGTTGGTCCCATCCTCGTGGGCTGGGTAAGAAAGTTCTCTGGTCTTTGTTGCAGATAAATTTCAATAATTTAGATGGGAAACATTTAGCTAGACTTTATATATATACACACACACACACACACACACACACACACACAAGTATTGGTTTCACATCGAAAAAAAAAAGCAAATTCCTAGTAAAATTATAATTATGTTTAGACTTTGTCTATTTAAAGCATGAAAGCAGTTTTTTCTTGTTATAAATATACTGCTTTTAAAAGTAACAGGGCCATTTGCAACACAATAAGTAAAGGTACACATGAAACTATTACTAGGTTCATATCAAATCAAATAAAACTAGTTAATATTCTATCAGGCCAATTGCTAATATAATTATTACTAGCCCAATAAAAATTTATTGACATATTCCTATCCACTACCAATAAAAAAAAACTTTTCAGGCAACAAGAAAAAAATCTCATGGTCAAAATGTAGTTTTATAAACAGGATAATAAGCATATGTTGCTAGTGTTTAGCATATATACAAAGCTAAGTAATTTCATACAGCTTAGTATATGGTTAGTTTCATCCCAACATAACTCATTCCTTTTCCTAATTAAATAAAAATAAATAAGCTGTGATCTTAGATTAGGAGTCATAAATTTATGATCCTGGGACTGGATTTGTGTTTTATTGTGTACATAAAGTTGTTGTTTGTTTGTTTAACTTACTTTGGACAAGGTGTGTGCTCTATTTTGCCTCAGTCCCCACCACTCCCTATTCTATACATTTCTGTTTCCTTCTATGAGTACTTGAATGATCCACCCCAGTTCCAAGTGTTTTTTCATTTGTTATAAAGCAGATAATGAGAGCAGATTACTTTGCCGACTTTTTCCAGGCGAGATTAGGTCTCTCATCACTCTGTGGCTCTCATCACTCTGTGGCACATGGTATTCCAGGAAAATAGGCAGGAAGTACCACAACAGCTAATATTAGAGATAATTTCACTGTTTGGAGAGTGTTGTGAAGGTTATAAATCCTACAGTTGCTATGTGAGATCCGTTTACCCAGTGATATTTGCATTTTAATCTTCCTAAAACCTTTTGGTTCCCATGCCTTGATAAGACATAGATGTGCAGAAAGATTTTACATTGTTCTCTTATCTCTCAGTGACTGTCTTGGTCAAGATACTTAATGAGAGTTTCATGACTTAGATAGCTTTAGTTCAGGAGTCAATTTTAGCACTAAGGCTGAAATATTCCAAGGGTATCTGAAAGGCAAGTAATGTTCTAAGATGAATAATTTAGAAAATATGCCTTAATATTTCAAGAGAGATCGTTCATCTTATATTTTTGACTTTCATTTTATTATGAGCCATGCTTTAACTTCTTTAGCTCACAAAGAAATTTCTCCAAAGAGAGCCAGCCAACTGGAGACAGAGAAGGTATAATGAGTAGAGAGTCTGCCTCAATATCTCTTAAACTTCCTGAGTCTGTGGACTTTGATATAGGGGTAAAAGGAACAGTTAGGCTGCATTCCAAAATTTGTAGGATAACTGCACTGTTTTCGATAAGACAGCAGTATAGGACTACATGATTTTCTTAGGCAACATATGCAAATCATCAATTCATGCCAGAAGCAAAATTGTAGTAATTTGCCTTTATACTAACTTTTTGCTGAACTAAACATTTCTCACATTTGTTAGAAAATTGGTTTGATCTTGGAGCAGCTTTGCAGTCCTTTTCTCTACGTATCCAAAGGAAGCGTGACCATGCTGGCCCATTGCTATCTGAATCCTTCAGGCATCAAATGAGGACTTGGATCTTGAAGAGCAGCCTAAAATTAAACAACTGGCCCGTTGTTGCCAGACTTCATGAGAAATGGCCCTTATTTATCAGGCCTGACGAGCTGTTAAATGTTTTTCCTCTTTTAACTGCAGATGTGTCTGTATGAGTGGGAACAGTAAACCAAGGGGTACATGTGTTTGAGTTCTTGTATTTTTAACAGAACAAAGTAAACATCTTAGTGGACTTTGGATGAGAAAAGTCAGAGCCCATTCGACCCATGAAAAATTGATTTATTTTCTCCCCAAAGGAAAAAAGTGGCGGGGGATGTGGAAATCCTTTTAAACAAATGAGCCTTCCAAGTGGGACAGCCCTGGCCAGTAGTCCTTTTGACCTTAGAATGAATCAATTACTTTTACTTGGAAGACCTTAAACAGAGTGGTTGCTTTTTTCAGGGAACTACCCCAGTTACTAAGAATTAGTGTCCCCCCTCCCTAATGGGTCAGCCTGTTTGAGTAAGCCCTCCCTAGCATAAAAAAAGCAACTAACCAAGTGACTTACCTCCATGCCAACGTTTTTTCAATGATAAAATAATTTTTAAGCTCTCCAAGGCAGAAAGTTCTCATGTAAATTTGGTGTCTAATTAAAGTTTAATTCCTAAGAAAGAGCCAGGGTACCTGGAAGCAAAAAATAGATTTGTTCTGTCACTTTTCACAATATTAAGGGGATAAAAGAACTTTTAAAAAAAGTGATTTTCCCTTATAAATTCTTGATAGTCTATTTAATAAAGAGATGGCGAGTAGTTCAGAACTCTGAGGGTAAAGGGGAAACAAGAATAAGCTTCAGACTCTACATAAGCAAGTTGCTTTGGTTCTCTAAACCACAGTCCCTTCAATAAAAGTATTCTAGGGCCCAGGCACAGTGGCTCCTGTCTGTAATCCTAGCACTTTGGGAGCCTGAGGTGAGTGGATTGCTTGAGCCCAGAAGTTGGAGACCAGCCTGGGCAACATGGCGAAACCCTGTTTCTACAAAAAAAATATTAGCTGACATGGTGGTGCATGTCTGTAGCCCCAGCTACTTGAGAGGCTGAGGAGGGAGAATTGCTTGAGCCTGGGAAGAAGAGGCTCAGTGAGCCATGATCGTGCCACTGCTTTCCAGCCTGAGCAACAATGCAAGACCCAACAAAGCAAGTCACAAAAAGAAAAAACTTCTAGGGACAAGTAATAATAGCTAGTACTTACTGATTCTTAATCAGAATCCAAGCTCCGTGATACATATTTTATATGGCTTACCTCATTAAGGGAGGGGGGACGTTAGTATATACATTTTGTAGGTGGAGACATTGAGGCTCGGAAGAGTCACTGACTAACAGCTGTGGGAGTTAGGCTTTGAACCTGATTTTCCCTGAGTCCTTTTTTTTGAGAGTGAGTCTTGCTGTGTCACCAACGTTGGAGTGCAGTGGCGTAATCTCAGCTCACTGCAACCTTGGCCTCCTGGGTTCAAGTGATTCTTGTGACCCAACCTCCCAAGTTGCTGGGATTACAGGTGCACACCACTATGTCTGGCTAATTTTCATATATTTTAGTAAAGATGGGATTTCGCCAGGTTGCCCAGGCTGGTCTCAAACTCCTGATCTCAAGTGATCTACCGGCCTCAGCCTCCCAAAGTGACGTGATTACAGGCATGAGCATGGTGCCTGGCCTAGTCTCTTCTTTAACCACTGCATTTTTACCTCTCACATTCTGAATAAGGGAGTGTGTGTGTATTTGAAAACCAAGACCTTGTACATTCTTCACCCTGTATAGTTTAAGATCCCTTGCGGCCTTTCCTAGCTGGTGACTGAACCAGATAGCCTTTCAGGTCATGCCCAGGAAATGAGCAACCTGTCAGGTGAGAGCACAGGACTGAGCCTGATTTGGTTGCCATGGTAGCAGGGCAGCAGGATCACAGGGAGCAATGGCCCATCTTCAGGGAGTAGCAGTGTGGTCGAGGTTCCTCACTAGTTTACATCCGATGGCTACTGCTGATTTGTTTCTTCCTAATGAAAACATTGGGCATTTCCAGATCTTTTTAAAAGGTGAGGAAGTGGAAATGAAATTAAGAGGGCCTAAGGCCATTTTTAATTAACTCTGAAAATCTAAATTATAAGCCATAGTACCACATCTGGGTTCTCTGTGTGTGTGTGTGTGTGTGTGTCTGTGTATATGTGTGTGTGTGTGTGTGTGCATGTATAAGTACCAATTATCATTACTTTCAAATAATAGCTGGTACTTTCAGATATAAGGTTGAGGGAAAAAATTTCTGCAACTCTTTAACACAAGTAGAGATTTTTTCTTTTCTTCCTTTTTTTTGAGATGGAGTCTTGCTCTGTTTGCCCAGGCTGGAGTGCAGTGGCGCAATCTCAGCTCACTGCAACCTCCGCCTCCCAGGTTTAAGCAATTCTCTGCCTTAGCCTCCCAAGTAGCTGGGATTACAGGTGCCTGCCACCACACCCGGCTAATTTTTATATTTTTAGTAGAGACGGGGTTTCACCATCTTGGCCAGACTAGTCTTGAACTCCCGATCTTGTGATTCACCGGCCTTGGCCTCCCAAAGTGCTGGGATTACAGGTGTAAGCCACCGCACCCAGCCTGAGATTTTTAATAACATGTCAGGAAGGTAGACATTTCCAAGGAATGTTAAGCTCAACAGTGAGCTTTTAAAATATTACTTTCCTGATACCCTTTTTTTGGTTTTAGTGACTGAGAAAATAATTTCAATAAGAGGTGTAAAAGCAGCAGCAGAGTATATAAAGTTTCAGAAGCTGCCATGCTTTTTTTTTTTTTTTCGAGACAGAGTTTCGCTCTTGTTACCCAGGCTGGAGTGCAATGGCGTGATCTCGGCTCACCACAACCTCCGCCTCCTGGGTTCAGGCAATTCTCCTGCCTCAGCCTCCTGAGTAGTTGGGATTACAGGCACACGCCACCATGCCCAGCTAATTTTTTGTATTTTTAGTGGAGATGGGGTTTCACCATGTTGACCAGGATGGTCTCGATCTCTTGACCTCGTGATCCACCCGCCTCGGCCTCCCAAAGTGCTGGGATTACAGGCGTGAGCCACCGCGCCCGGCCACTTTTTTTTTTTAAACGGAGTCTCGCTCTGTTGCCCAGGCTGAAGGGCAGCAGCACAATCTTGGCTCACTGCGACCCCTGTCTCCCAGCTTCAAGCAGTTCTCCTGCCTCAGCCTCCTGAATAGCTGGAATTACAGGCACCTACCACCATGCCTGGCTAACTTTTGTATTTTTAGTAGAGATGGGATTTCACCATGCTGGCCAGGCTGGCTCAAACTCCTGACCTCATGATCCACCTCGGCCTCCCGAAGTGCTGGGATTATAGGTGTGAGCCACCATGCCTGGCCGCCATACTGTATTTTTAAGCAACGTTCCCAAACCATCAAATATTAGCTAATTTTATAACCTATTAAACATGCATTTATTTGTTCATTCAGAACACAGAGTTTCTCCCATATAGTAGGCCCATTGCAAAGTAGTGAGGATGCAGAAATAAAAGACTGTCTTGCCAGTGTCTTGCACTGAATGCCTCTAAAGAGCAGATATTACGAGGAATAGGACTTCATAGTACAAGGGAGAGAAACAAAAGCAGTTAGGCCATTGGCTGCATTTTATTGCTTCTGGTTACTTTCTGGAGGCTGGTAACTCTTAGATTAGAATGTCAAGACAGAAAAAGTGGACGAGAAGCCTTTTCTGTTGAGCCTCTGACATGGTGTTTGCACAGTGTGGCTGATGGGATGTGTCAGAGAAATTAGCATTTTGCTGAAATGAAGGCAGTGAAGTTTAAATGTTCCAAAGTCTTTAAGCTTAAATTGTTCATCACATGGTATTTTGATGTTAACTGTTAGTGACAGCCAAAACTTGTTTCTGGCCTGTCAGAGCTAGTTTAAAAGATGTTTATAAGTGCTCTCTGCATCTGATTTTTTTAGTAATCATACTTTTGCTTTAACTTCTTGAGGCTCTTTATAATTGGGCTCCTTGGAATAAGATAATCTTAAATTAATGTGGGCTAATATAGAGGTTCAAGCCATGCCAAGGGCTGGGCTATGGAGTGTGATCCTTTGCCTCCTTTTTGTGCCTCTAAAGTCTTCTAAATGAGATTCTTTTTTTTTTTTTTTTTTTTGAGACAGAGTCTCACTTTGTCACCAGGTGCCAGCTGGAGTGCAATGACATGATCTCAGCTCACTGCAACCTCCACCTCCTGGGTTCAAGCAATGCTCCTGCCTCAGTCTCCCAAGTAGCTGTGACTACAGGCGAGCACCACCACGCCCAGCTAATTTTTGTACTTTTTAGTAGAGATGGGGTTTCACCGTGTTGGCCAGGATGGTGTTGATCTCTTGACCTCGTGATCCGCCCACCTAGGCCTCCCAAAGTGCTGGGATTACAGGCATGAGCCACCACCCCTGGCCTTGAGTTTCTTATTAATAATCTTAAAGGAAATTTTTTTTTTAATAAAATAGGAGGGTTTCACCTGACTAGATATCTTTGGAAGTTTAGAAAATTCTGAACTGTATGTATAGGCAGTAATTTCACTTCTGTTGTTTCTGGTTTAGTGTATTAGTCTGTTCTTACACTGCCATAAAGAAATACCTGAAACTGGGTAATTTATAAAGAAAAGAGGTTTAACTGCCTCATGATTCTGCAAACTATACAGGAAGCATGGCTGAGGGGGCCTCAGGAAACTTTCAGTCATGACAGAAGCAGAAGCAGGCACATCTTATGTGGCCAGAACAGGAGGAAGAGAGCAGGGGGGCAGTGCTACACACTGTACCTACTGAGAACTCACTCACTATCCCAGGAACAGCAAAGGGGAAATCCACCCCCATGATCCAATCACCTCCCAGGAGGCCCCTCCTCCGACACTGGGGATTACAATTCAGCATGAGATTTGGGCAGGGACACAGATCCAAACCATATCACTTAGATTGGCAGAAAATGCAAACAAACTATAAGAGTCTTAATCAAGAAAGTAAACATGCAATTAAGAAAATTACTTTGTGAAAGCAAGCCAGAGCCTAAGAAAATGGTCCATTGCCTGCTATGTTGAAGATTCCGCTACTTTCCACCAGCCATGCAGAATGCCAGCACTTTGGGAGGCCGAGGAGGGCGGATCACCTGAGGTTGGGTGTTCAAGACCAACATGGAGAAACCCCATGTCTACTAAAAATGTAAAATTTTATATATATGGGATTATAGGCATGGTGGCAGGTGCCTATAATCCCAACTACCCGGGAGGCTGAGGCAGGAGAATCGCTTGAACCTGGGAGGTGGAAGTTGCAGTGAGCTGAGATCATGCCATTGCACTCCAGCCTAGGCAACAAGAGCAAGACTCTGTCTCAAAAAAAAAAAAAAAAAAAAAAGGATGTCGGCCAGACCCAGAGACAAGTTAGGTGTTTGTTCAGTCCCAATAAGTCATGCCACCTATAGCCTTAGAGCTCACATTATTTTGACATTCCATCTTCTTTTTTTGTTTCCTTCTTAGCTGCCTTGCCTCAGCTCCTATGATAGTTACTGTAGCAATCAAGTAGCTGCCAAAGCTCTGCTGGACCACAAAAAGCAAGATCACCGAGTCCAGGATTTCCTACAGCGATGTTTAGAATCCCCCTTTAGCCGCAAACTAGATCTCTGGAATTTCCTCGATATTCCAAGAAGCCGTCTGGTAAAATACCCTCTACTTCTTCGAGAAATCTTGAGGCACACACCAAATGATAATCCAGATCAGCAGCACTTGGAAGAAGCTGTAAGTTTGTCTGTTTTTTTCTCTCTTTTCTTGTTATTTCCCCCGTAATGGCTGATTGGGTCAGTGAGTGAATGGAAGGGTCCCTGGGTACTTAGTACTCAGGAATCTTGGATTCCAGGCCTGGCACTGCCATCATCCATGTTTTGATTCTGCAAGTCACTTCTCTTCTCTCTGCCTCAGTTTCCTAAACTGTAAAATGCAGTGTTTACACTGTAAGGTCCCTTAGGCAGTAAAATTCTTAATTTTACATAGGCGACTCTAATCTGGTGTTACACTTGCTGACTATAAGGAACAAGATCTTTGTGTAGGTTTTAAATTTTGTTTAGTTACAAAATAATGAGTTGCCTTTCAGCCTAGCCCCAAAGCTTATTTGTGAAGTGGGCATTCATTTAAGATCTAGCTCCCTTTGGCCCCCAGTTACAGTACGTTGCCTTGTTCAACCTCCTGCTCACCAGTGGGATCCTCACTCAGCAAATGTTTATTGAATGTGGGCCGGGCATGATGGCTCATGTCTGTAATCCCAGCACTTTGGGAGGCCAAGGCAGGCCGATCACTTGAGACCAGGAGTTCAAGACCAGCCTGGCCAAAAAAGCAAAACCTGTCTCTACTAAAAAAACCAAAAAAAAAAAAATTAGCAGGGTGAGGTGGCATGCACCTGTAGTCCCAGCTACTCAGGAGGCTAAGGCACGAGAATTGTTAGATCATTTTCTGATTTAATCTGGGACAGTAATAGAAGGAGGATATGCATACATAATTTGAAAATCAGAAGCCTTGAACCTGTTGAGCAAACTTATCTCCTCCCAGAGAAGGGTTTAATAATAATTAGTAGAAACAACAATAATGGTAATAATTGCTGGCATTGAGTACCTAGTAAATCAACATTTTGTAAATTTGCCTTATAGGTTCTGTATCTCATTTAACCCTCACAACAGCCTAGGAGATAGCTGTTTTTATTAGGGCCATTTTCCAGATGAGGCTTGGGGTGGTTAAAGCTTGCCCAGATCCACAGCCAGCAAGTGATGCAGTTGATGTTCAAACCCTTTCAGTATAGACTCCAAATCTTGTGCCCTTCTACTTCTTCATGGCTTTATACAGCCTGCTCACTACTTTAAGCTTCTGTTGCTTTTATAATTGCAGAGAGCTGTCTGGTCACCAGCCTCACTGGTGCAGAACTGGGCTGGGTGCCTCCAAGTAAGATAGAAAAGAATAGTAAAGGACCCTCTCCTGATTCATGTATTCAATGCATCTGGCGGGCCGAACACAGATCAGGCCCCCAGTACAGGGCAGATGGGGGATGCAGGCCCTGGGGTTAAGGCCCATATCACTTCATCATGTCTGTTTTTATTACCGGGAGGAGTGCGATAGAGTTGCCTCCCCTCCATATTTCATCCCAGCAAGTGTGTGGTCTGCAGGAATAAAAAAACAGGGAGCATGAGCTACTCGAAGTCATGACTTTTTTGAAGCACAGGAACCTGTTCTGAGTTACTGTAAAGATTTTTTAATATGGAGCATGAAAGAATACTGTTCTGTTTTTTTAAAAAAAATACCCAGTGAGCTAAAGTTTGAATTTAAAAATATGTAAGGATATGATCGTGTGTAATATAAAAGGATGTGCCAATAACCAATTTCCCTAGTGCATAAAGTATGAAGCCATTTTCAAAAGTTGAGTCTGCACCTAGTTATTCAGGCTGATCTGTGCATGCAACATGGTATACTTGCATTTGAAAATGTCTGCAAAACAAGTCTTCAAAATGCCTACTTACCCGGTATATGCACAGGATTTTTTTTCCCCTTCTTTACAAAGTCCTGGAGGCATTATCCAGATGAACAGAATTATTTAGCCCTGTACTCTTGGGTGCGTTGTGAATGTTTGATAAACATAAAACCCATAGCGCCCATGTAGCTTGACTTACATATCCCCTGAATAAATTTTCCATCTTTGAAAAGGGAAAAATCAGAGAGCGCTAAGTAAATTGCTTGCATTCCAAGGGAGTTGATTGCATGCAGGCCTATGATTAGATCTCAAAAATATCTTGCCTTTAATGTAGCACCTAAACTACCACATCTTTATTGCAATTTCAGTTTGTTTATTTATTTATTTAAAGATGGGGTTTCTCCACATTGGTCAGGCTGGTCCCGAACTCTCGACCTCAGGTGATCCACCCACCTTGGCCTCCCAAAATGCTGGGATTACAGGCATCTTTATTACAACTCCTTAATGTTGTGAGGGTTGATAAAAATTTTTTCCCAAAAAAGGACTTCTTAAAATGGGATTTTGTATATTCAGATAGTCCAGAGAACTCGGTTGTTTAATGTTTTAAATCCTAAGGATATTTTTGGCCAGAAAATAATCCTGCAGAGTATCTGTTCCCCCCATCCACCACTGTTTCTCAACTCCTTAAGAAAAAAAATCACTGAAATCAGTAGGAAAAACAATCCTGCTTTTGATGCAGCAGCCATGAAGACTGCTATTCTTGGTTCATGGCAGGAGCCAGTGAGTATCGTAGCACAGGGGACCGGGCAGTCAGGGCTTTCAGATTCCTCTTTGAGGATGATGAGTCCAGCATGTGTGGGCTTAATCTTTGTACTGTTACCAGGTATCTCTTATCATCTCCCTCTACCAGTCCCTTCCTTCAGTTAGAACCCGGTAAGAGATGCAACAATAAATTTAATTTAAACACACAACTGCCATGACTGTTGGCTCTTGGCAACCTGCTGTATGCCTGAAATTCTGCAAAGTAAATCTCTCTCAAGGACCAACACAGAGTCCGGGCACGGTGGTTCATGCCTATAATCCAACGTGGGAGCATAACCTGAGGTCGGGAGTTTGAGACCAGTCTGACCAACATTGAAGAAACCCTGTCTCTACTAAAAATACAAAATTAGCCAGGCTTGGTGGCACACACCTATAATCCTAGCTACTCAGGAGGCTGAGGCAGGAGAATCATTTGAACCCGGGAGGCAGAGGTTGCAGTGAGCCGAGATCACTCCATTGTACTCCAGCCTGGCAACAAGAGCAGCACTCCATCTCAAAAAAAAAAAAAAAAAAAAAGCAACAATGCAGAGAGATAAGACCCTCATGATATTCAGGTAGACAGAAATATAAAACATTATTTTTAATAAATGAAAATAGACCCAGAGTTATTATAATGTATACATAGAACATGAAGTGAGAACACTGATTGTTTCCATTGTTTTCTCTCTGTTTTTCAAAGACCAGTGAAAGAAGCAGTATTTGAAACTAATCATAGCTGCCTGAGGAACCGCCATGGCATTTGAGTTTATTAATCTTCATGTGATATGCCAGCTGTTCAGTTCCTGAGTTAAATTAGGAAATGAACACATATTTATGACTATAGTGCATCTTCTTTCTGGTTTCCTGGATACTTGCAGGCAACTCAGAAAATTGACACAAGTACTGATTAATTCCAGCTGTCCAGGTACACCTGCTAACAGCTAACTGATAAACTGCAGCCTCTAATGCTGAGGTCTTCAAGAGTAAGGAAAAAGCACGGATTTCACTACATACTAAATAATATGGAAAGGTAAAAGGATAAAGTAGTCATAACACAGTTGCTCAGATACCTCCCATTTGTTTTAAGCTTTTTGAAGGCAGGAATCCTCTCATTTCTTTGAATGCTACCACTTAGTCTGACATGGAACAGGTTCTCAATAAACATTAAATGAATATGAAGAATGAATCATGGCTTTAGTATATTTTGTGAATTTTTTTTGTCTTGAAAGTAACGGTGAATAATCAGTCATTTTTGAAAATCAAGAAAGGAAAAAACTATGAAAGTATACCAAAGTATTCTGCTATTTACTGTTTTATGTTAACAAAACTCAAATTACTTTTACAGGATTTATGTTGAATATTACATTGACATCAAAGGCCAAAAAGCTTCTTTTATAACACTAAAGAGGCTGAATTTTTTTAAATAATGTGTGTTTTTTTTTTTAATCAAAGTAGTGAGTGCTATGACCACAATTTGGGAAATAGAGAAAATAATAAAGAAGTCTTTGAAACTCTTGTGTCAGAGTACCCAGGTACAGAAATGAACAGATTATGCCTCTCTCCATAGGATACATTCACTAGACTTCAGCTCAAAGCTGTAAGATCTTCTGTCAAACTTGTGTGGAAGTACAAAAGTTATGACTGAGTAATAGTTTTTACCCAATTGCTTTTGGCAGACAATATCATTTTACTGGCATATGAAAAATAATTACTTGGCCAGACGCAGTGACTCACGCCTGTAATCCTAGCACTTTGGGAGGATGAGATGGGCAGATCACTTGAGTCCAAAAGTCAGAGACCAGCATAGGCAACGTAGCAAAACCCCATCTCTATGAAAAATGCAAAAATTAGCCACATGTGGTGGTGCATGCCTGTGGTCCCAGCTACTGGGGAGGCTGAGGCAGGAGGATCATGTGAGCCCCAGAGTCAGGGGTTGCAGTGAGCCAAGATGGCACTACTGCACTCCAGCCTGGGTGACAGAATGAAACCCTATCTCAATTGAAAAGAAGAAAAATAATTACTTAGCAATCCTATATAGAATTAATTCTAGATAGAATTTATTACTATTTTAATACATGGTAACTTCTGACTGAGCAAAGTCCTCTTTTCAAACCTTGTTTTTCAGAGATTGGCTTTTCTTTTTTCTCTTTTTCTCTTTTTTTTTTTTCTGGTGTCATAGGCTTCGTATATTCTTTTTTTTTTTTTTTTTGATTGGCTTTTCTTTTAAGTAAATGTGATGAAGAAGAGGCCTTACCAACGTTCTCCATCTGTTAAGTACTTTTCAGTTAACACCACAAGAATGATGGAACTGTTGGTCTTTTCACTTGTAGGGCACAGAGAATCCTGCAAAGGAAATCATTAGTTTGCCTGTGATTGGTGTCATGGAGATTTTTTTTTTTTTTTGAGACAGAGTTTCGCCCTTGTTACCCAGGCTGGAGTGCAATGGTGTAATCTCAGCTCACCGCAACCTCTGCCTCCTGGGTTCAGGCAATCCTCTGGCCTCAGCCTCCCGAGCAGCTGGGACTACAGGCATGCACCACCATGCCCAGTTAATTTTTGTATTTTTAGTAGAGACGGTGTTTCACCATGCTGACCAGGATGGTCTCGATCTCGTGACCTCGTGATCCACCAGACTCGGCCTCCCAAAGTGCTGGGATTACAGGCGTGAGCCACCGCACCCGGCCCGTTTTTTTGTTTTTTTTGAGATGGAGTCCTACTCTATTGCCCAGGCTGAAGAGAAGGGGCATGTTCTCAGCTCACTGCAACCTCCACCTCCCAGGTTGAAGTGATTTTCCCACCTCGGCTTCCCAAGTAGCTGGAATTACAGGTGGGCACCACCTTGCTTGGCTAATTTTTTTTTTTTTTTGTATTTTTAGTAGAGATAGGATTCACCCTGTTGGCCAAGCTGGTCTGGAACTCCAGACCTCAAGTGATCCACCTGTCTTGGCCTCCCAAAATGCTGGGATCACAGGCATGAAACACCATGCCCAGCCTGGTGTCATTGAGTTTTTCTTAACTAATTTCTCATCCCTCTGTTTTCTAGCATTTTCTAACATTTAGATATATTCATATGACAGAATAATGACACATCAGAATACATATCCACTGATCACATCTCAGTCAGCATTCTTGTTTTTGTATTGACAGCATTGCATCCACCATTGCTTTGGAAACTTCTGCCCAAACTTACTCACTCACGTGGGCTCTAGACCCTGGGTGTGAGTGTATTTATACAGACTATCCCCATCATTATGCTGGTGTCTTTTTTTCCTAGTTTTTCTCTGTTCTTTATAAACATTTATGTTATGTCACTGAAAAAGATATCCAGGCCAGGCATGGTAACTCATGCCTGTAATCCCAACACTTTGGAAGGCTGAGGTGGGCAGATCACTTGAGCTCTGGAGTTTGAGACTAGCCTGGGCAACATGGTGAAACCCATCTCTACTAAAAATACAAAAATTATCTGCACATGGTGACAGATGCCTGTCATCTCAGCTATTCGGGAGGCTGCGGCAGTAGAATCACTTGAACCTGGGAGGCAGAGGTTGCAGTGAGCCGAGATTGTGCCATCGCACTCCAGCCTGGGCAACAAGAGTGAAACTCCATGTCAAAAAATAAAAATATCCAAACCATTTGTTCAAACCCAATTTGCAAATACTGTTTGTACATTAAATTTAGTACATGTAGGGAGACATTGAAGCTATTAATAGTGTCACATCCTCAAAGACAGTCCTTCTTTTAGACTCTTACATTCTGCTTTGTTTTCTCTCCTTAGCTGATTTTTTTCTATGGCTACATTTTCAACATTGTGAGCACGTTTTAAGAAGTGTACTGCCTGGAGCTCAGTACTTATTCCTTCCTCCCAGATAAAATTATACATCAATATTAGTTTTACATATAATACAAATATCTTTATATGTGTACAAATAAATGTGTGTGTGTATGTGTACAGATGGATAGATGCAGTATACTAAAATAATTTATTTTTTATCTTTTCCCAAAGTAGCAATTTAGATAACAGAATTAGATCCAGGTGTGTCCTGGTGTCCTTCTAGGCTGAGCCCTTAAGACTTGGTGTGCACAAATTGCTGCATTCCTCCATACTTAATTTTCCTCTGTTTCCATAGATAAACATCATTCAGGGAATAGTGGCAGAAATCAACACCAAGACTGGGGAATCGGAATGCCGCTATTATAAAGAGCGGCTTCTTTACTTGGAAGAAGGTCAGAAAGACTCTCTGATCGACAGCTCTCGAGTCTTGTGTTGTCATGGTGAACTGAAGAACAATCGGGGTGTGGTAAGTAGTTACCCTCCTTAAGCAGTCTCTTCCTGGGCCTCCTCTATCCCTAATTCATTTGATGTGGAGCCTCCTCTTACAATTTTTTCCCTATCAAGGATCATCTTTGTTTTGTTTTTGTTTTTGTTTGAAATGGAGTCTCGCTCTGTCACCCAGGCTGGCTCACTGCAACCTCCTCCTTCCTAGGTTCAAGCAGTTCTCATGCTTCATCCTCCTAAGTAGCTGGGACTGTAGGTACCTGCTACCATGTCCAGCTAATTTTTATATATTTTTTTAAGTAGAGACAGGATTTCACCATATTGGCCAAGGTAGCCTCAAACTCCTGACCTCAAGTGATCCCACCTCTGCCTCTCAAAGTGCTGGAATTACAGGCGTGAGCCACTGTGCCTGGCCTTCATTCTTTCAAAAATTGCTTTTTCAGTGTCATTTATATCACAGGATCATATGTGTACATGTGTATATATTCATATTTTGTAATGTTATGGATCAGTACATATTCAAAAAGAATTTTGGAAACCAACATAGGGTTCCCAGCTGTTTATTTTGTTTGATTGTTAGTTTGAAAAACAAATGCAGAATGGTTAGCTTCTCTTACTTTGATTTCTGAAAATAAAGGATGATCTTAATAAGATGTTAGAGGGATTTAATCTCAGAAAAACAGCTCTTCAGTTTAATGCATTTAACTGCTTTCTTGTGAATTGGGACCCATCCACAGACTGGCATTTTGAAACCAGTTTTTTTTTTTAAATAACAATCTATCTTTTGTCAGCTGCATATTTAGCTTCGACTTATAGATATCCCATTTCCTGGCTTTTATTCCTGAGTAGATACTGAAATGGTTCCTCCTCGGTTATCATAGCAACTGTGCAAATCTCCCGTGGAGCACTTAATATAGTGAGTTACGGTTCTCCATTTGTCTGTCAGTATATTCCATTACATTATGTTATTTTAGTTGGGGGACTGTGGTTTTTCAAACCTAGAACCTGTTACGGGGACCTGGCACATACTGGGTACTCAATAAACTAATGCTTATTTAAAGGGAAAGATGAATTTGAATTATATGAGAGTTCAAAATTCATTCAACTCACCAAGCTATTTGTATAGTCAGTAGAAATGTGTGTGTGTGTGTGTGTGTGTGTGTGTGTGTGTGTGTTTAAATTTCTGTGTTGAGACAGGCATTGGAAGAGAGACTCTGCATTTTTTATTGTATTTTGTCTTCAGTATCTAGCCAACCCTTAGAATGAAAGCCAAAACTAAGTTGAAGAGTTCTCAATAAAGTTTTGATAATTCAAGGAACACCCTCTTAGCCTAGACTGAGCAGGCTTAGAAATATTACTTGAAATCAGTGAGTACATGTCATAACCCATTATCAGGGATGCTATGGATCCAGCCAACGGATGGTACAATGGGAGTAATGAGGCCTGTGAAGTCTGTTGCTTAAAGATGTGTGTCTGTGGGACTAGAGAGTTACTGATTGCTAGAAAGCTGCCTTCTGTTTCTTACTTATTTTCAGAAAGCACCTGTGGACATCTAGTATCTGACACCAAGCTCCTTGAATGTTCTTTCTAGGTAGCCCAATGAGAAACAGGAAAATGTGCTTCTCCATAGGGCATAAGCCTATTATCTTTCTGTACATCAGTCAAGGACTGATGGTTAGATGTGCCTAGGGCATAAAGATGAACTCTAGTTTTTATTGCAGGCAGACAGATGTTTGAGAACAAAGATAGTTGGGGTGGGTTTTTTTCCCCCAGTAGAGTTGTGAAGGTCACTGCGAATAAAGTCTTAGATCAGAAAAAAAGCACAATAGTTTGAGGGCAGGAAGGAACTGAAACTAATAAGAGAAATAATCAGTGAGCATTCATAAATGAGATTTTTTTTCTTTGTTTTGTTTTTGAGACAGAGTCTGGCTCTGTTGCCCAGGCTGGAGTGCAGTGGCAGAGTCTTGGCTCACTGCAACCTCTGCCTTCCGGGTTCAAGCAGTTCTGATGCCTCAGCCTCCCAAGTAGCTGGGATTACAGGTGCCTGTCACCATGCTCAGCTAATTTTTGCATTTTTAATAGAGATGGCGCTTCACCATGTTGGCCAGGCTGGTCTCAAATCGCTCACCTCAAGTGATCCACCCACCTCAGCCTCCCAGAGTGCTGGGATTACAGACATGAGCCACTGTGCCTGGTCATTGTATTTTTAAAAGGTTGCCTGGACAATCTCAGTTCAAACTGCCCACCTTGGCTGGAAGATTGATTGAAGTAGAAACAGTGTCAAGATCTGATTATTCTGGGCTGGGTGCGGTGGCTCACGCCTGTAATCATAGCATTTTGGGAGGCCAAGGCAGGCGGATCACAGGGTCAAGAGATCAAGACCATCCTGGCCAACATGGTCAAATCTCATCTCTACTAAAAAATACAAAAATTAGCTGGTCATGGTGGCGCAAGCCTGTAAGTCCCAGCAACTCGGGAGACTAAGCCAGGAGAATCGCTTGAACCAGGAGGCAGAGGCTGCAGTGAGCTGAAAGCACACCACTGCACTCCAACCTGGAGTCAAAGCAAGACTCTGTCTCAAAAAAAAAAATCTGATTATTCTAAATATTATACATTTAAACAGTGCCCAAAACAAAATTCTTAACACATTATTTCCATAACTTTGTCACAGCTACCACACCAAAAAGCCTTTAACTTGGTTATTTTGTGCTTTATCCTTTTTTTTTTTTTTTTTTTTTGAGATGGAGTCTTGCTCTGTCACCCAGGCTGGAGTGTGGTAACTCGATCCTGGCTCACTGCAACCTTCACCTCCCTGGTTCAAGCACTTTCCCTGCCTCATCTTCCCTAGTAGCTGGGATTACAGGCACCCAGCACCATGCTTGGCTAATTTTTTTGTATTTTTAGTAGAGACAGTGTTTCACCATGTTGGCCAGACTGGTCTCAAACTCCTGACCTCAGGCAATCTGCCCACCTCAGCCTCCATTACAGGCATGAGCCACCACACTTGGCCTATCCTATTTTTTAGTCTTCTTAAATATACATTTTATTACCTCTGGCCAAGATTTGGCTGTATTTTGTTTCTGTGTTTGGGAGTTAGTAGGGATGGGGATGGGAGACCTACGAGTTTCTTTTCTCCCAAATTTAAAATGATCTAATAATATCGAATGTGCTCCCACTATCACAAGTCAAAATTCTAATCTGAAGTTTTTAATTCAGTTTCCATTTTTGTTTTAGATTCAGGGAGTACATGTGCAAGTTTGTTACAAGGATATATTGCAGGTGCTGAGAATGCGCTTCTATTGATCCCATTACCTAGACAGTGAACAGAGTACTCAATAGGAAGTTTTTCAGCCCTTGCTCCTCTCACTTCCTCTTTCCTTTTAGAGTCCCCAGTGTCTGTTGTTTCTATCTTTTTGTCCATGTGAATCCAAGCTTAGGTCCCACTTACAAGTGAGAACCTCTCTTCTTCTGGTCTCTCCCCTTTAATACCCCTGGATTGACATTCCCAAATGTTTCCACCAGAGAGATAGAACCTAACTGCAAAGTTGTGGATATTTTCGCTTCAGTTGCTAAGCACTTCCAAACTGTGAGAGGAGTCTGGCACTTAGAGTTGAATGGAGCAAATTTACCCCACAGAACACACCTGCTTTTATAACGGGGCCTGAAACAAGCCTTCATTTTTGCAATTTTCTTTCTTTCTTTTTTTTTTTATTTTTTTTTAATTTATTTATTTTTTAAAGACTGGGTTTCACCGTGTTGGCCAGGCTGGTCTTAAACGCCTGACCTCAGGTGATCCGCCCGCCTCGGCCTCCCAAAGTGCTGAGATTACAGGCGTGAGCCACCACACCCGGCCCATTTTTGCAATTTTCCTTTTGCCCACAACACACACATCAGTTGTCAACTTTTTAAGCCTCTTCTGAGAACCAAGGTTTGTTCTGATTAACTTAACTGAGAAGGAAAATGTTCATCTTTTTTTTTTTTGAGATGGAATTTCCCTCTTGTCACCTATGCTAGAGTGCAGTGACACAATCTTGGCTCACTGCAACCTCCGCCTCCCAGGTTCAAGTAATTCTCCTGCCTCAGCCTCCCAAGTAGCTGGGATTACAGGTGTCTATCACTATGCCTGGCTAATTTTTGTTTTTAGTAGAGACAGGGTTTCACCATGTTGGCCAGGCTGGTCTTGAACTCCTGACCGCAGGTGATCTACCCGCCTTAGCCTCCCAGAGTACTGGGATTACAGGTGTGAGCCACTGCACCCAGCCTGATCATCCTTCTTTGTGACTGTGGCACCATACTCTGGTTCCCTTAGGAACAAGCAGTGTTCTGACTTGAAGTTCCTAGATAAAACTGATAATGACTCTGGTTGAAGGAACAAGTGTTTTGTTTTGAGACGGAGTTTTGCTTTTGTTACCCAGGCTGGAGTGCAATGGCGCGATCTCGGCTCACTGCACCCTCCACCTCCTGGGTTCAGGCAATTCTCCTGCCTCAGCCTCCTGAGTAGCTGGGATTACAGGCACGCGCCACCATGCCCAGCTAATTTTTTGTATTTTTTTAGTAGAGACAGGGTTTCACCATGTTGACCAGAATGGTCTTGATCTCTTGACCTCGTGATCCACCCGTCTCAGCCTCCCAAAGTGCTGGGATTATAGGCATGAGCCACTGTGCCCAGCCCAGGAACAAGTGTTTTTATGGGCCTGGGAAGCGAAGATTAATATTAGCTTTGCTATACCAGTCTCATTTTTTATAGACTATTGTTAATTTTGATCTTTTAGAATTTTTTTTTTTTTTTTTTTTAGACAGTCTCACTCTGTCACCCAGGCTGAAGCGCAGTGGTGTGATCTTGGCTCACCACAACTTATACCTCCTAGGTTTGAACGATTCTCCTGCCTCAGCCTCCCAGGTAGCTGGGATTACAGGCACCAGCCACCTTGCCCAGATAGGGGCTTTTTTGTTTATTGTTCTTTTGTTTTTTGTGATAGAGTCTTGCTCTGTCACCAGGTTAGAGTGCAATGGTGTGATCTCAACTCACTACAACCTCTGCCTCCTGGGTTCAAACGATTCTCCTGCCTCAGCCTCCTGGGTAGCTGGGATTATAAGCGTCTGCCACCACACCTCGGCAATTTTTTTATTTTTAGTAGATGGGGTTTCACCATTTTGGCCAGGCTGTTCTCAAACTCCTGACCTCATGATCCGTCTGCCTTGGCCTTCCAAAGTGCTAAGATTCCAGATGTGAGCCACCATGTCTGGCCTGAGCACTTAGAATTATATTAAGTAATATAAACCAAAGCCAGGAGAGTGCTAAGTTATTTTCTGTTCATTGCCTTCTTGATTCTATTCCCCTTTCTCATTTTTTCTTATAGGAGCTGGGGCATGTATGTCTGTACAGGTTGTGAGTTGCAATGTGAATAGGGACCCCAAAGTTGGCAACCCTGACTGCAGGTGTCTGTAGGAAGAAAGGCTTCCTCCACTGAGTCTCTAGGGAGGTGTTTCTACAGGAAGCGTAGTGGACATATCTGGAAATGCCTCCGACATGCCCAACTCTGGTTCTCCTGGAGGTAGATTTGAACCTAGGAGTTCATAATCCAGTGTGCACCTGGTACCTAGGGACCTCTCTATCCACAGAGGTCAACAAATCAGCCACTCATTACATTATTGCTTAGCAAAAGCCCTGTGGATTCTTTTCTTCTAGAAACTGCACGTTTTCCTGTTCCAAGAAGTGCTTGTGATCACTCGAGCCGTCACCCACAATGAGCAGCTTTGTTACCAGCTGTACCGTCAGCCGATCCCCGTGAAGGACCTCCTGCTGGAAGACCTGCAGGACGGAGAAGTGAGACTGGGTGGCTCCCTGCGAGGGGCATTCAGCAACAATGAGAGAAGTATGGAGGCTGTCAGGGTTGACCTGTTGAACTTTCTTGGCCCTGGTAGTTTGGAGGGAATGGGAGGCCGGTGGAAAGAGAAAAGCCACAGGCTTGAAGTAAAACTGCATTTGAATGCTGTCTCATCACTTCCTGATTATGTACTTTGTTTAGCCACTATGATTCTCAGTTTCCCATCTGCAAAATGGAAATGCATACATACCTCCTTCATAAGGTTGTCGTAAAGATTTAGTAAGATACTCTAAGTGAATCCGTCTGCACTTAGTCCTCCTTAAGTTCCCTTTCTCTTTTTCCATTGGAAAAAAACATGCTTACTACCAGTTAGTCCCTATATGTGTACCAGTTATATTACGGTGGGTTTTGCAGTTGAACTGGTAGACTTGTCCCTAAAGAGACTTAAGAATGGTCAACTGCAATGTGGGTTCATCTGTAACATTACTCAATGGGCCTAACTTAACACTTAATTAAAAAAATTAACTAAAAGAAGCCAAGATAGCAATATCTATTGAGTATCTAACATGTGTCAAGCACTGTTCTAGCACTAATATAGATGGTGAATCAAGCAGATTAACTTTCTTCCCCTATGGAGTTTGCATTGTGATGGAGGAGAAAGATGATAAATAAATAAATACTCTAGGTGTTGTTAAGAAAACTTAAAACCCAGTAAGAGAATAGGAAGGGATAGCAATAGGAGATCTGTTTTCTTTTTCTTTTTATTTATTTTTGAGACAGAAGTCTTACTCTGTTGCCTAGGCTGGAGTGTGGTGGTGCAATATCGGCTCACTGCACCCTCTGCCTCCTGGGTTCAAGTAGCTTGTGCCTCACCCTCCCAAGTAGCTGGGAATACAGGTGCATGCCACCATGCCTGGCTAATTTTTGTATATTTAGTAGAGACAAGGTTTCTCCATGTTGGCCAGCCTGGTCTCAAACTCCTGACCCCAAGTGATCTGCCCACCTCTGCCTCCCAAAGTGCTGGGATTACAGGTGTGAGTCACCATGTCCTAACTGGGGGTCTATTTTAAATGAGATAGAGAGCACTTCTTTGAGAAAGTAACATTTGAGCTTCCTGGATTAACATAGGCATCATATTGTCAAAGTAATTAGTATGTACTGCCTCCTACCTACTAATCAGTCTGTCTACCCTAGTAGGAGGAGTAGTAGTAGAAATAAGAGCTTATGGGAGGAGGATCCAAGATGGCCGATCGCTAACATCTCGGGATTGCAGCTCTCAGTTAAAGCGCAGAGAACTAGAGGACGCCACACTTTCAGACAAATTCAGGTCGCTCACGGAGCAGAAGATCCCCATGGAGGAGTCACACGGGTCGCCAGCACGACTCTTGTGGCTGGGGCAGCGGTTTCGCCGGCACCTCGGCGCGGCAGCTCTCGGAGCAGAGTAAACAGGGCTGGCTCCGCTTCTGACTGAGGTTTGGAGGACCCACACGGGCCCCCAGTACGACTCCTGAGGCCGGCGCAGTGGCTGTGACAGCACCTTGGCGTGGCAGCTCTCGGCGCAGAGTAAACGAGACTGGTTCCCCTTCTGACCGAGGTTTGGAGCCCCGGGAAGCCAGAGTCACCTATTTCGGACACAAGAAGGAAGCCAGACAGGAGAATCCTGGGCAGAAAAGCACCATCAGTCTTAACGCTGCTGTTCTGGCCCTGGGAACTAACAACTTGGACGTCCACTCAAGAGACCTAATCTGAAAGTTGGTAATTTCAAAGACGACAGAAGGATAAATTTACAATGATGGGAAGAACCAGCGTAAAAAAGCTGAGAATACTCAAAATCAGAACACCTCTCCCTCTAAAGATGATCACAGTTCCACATCAACGATGGAACAAGGCTTGATGGAGAACGAGCGCATCCCAATAACAGAATCACTCTTCAGGGAATGGATAATAAGAAACTTCTGTGAGTTAAAAGAACATGTTGTAGCCCAACGTAAAGAAACTAAGAACTTCGAAAAAAGGTTTGACGAAATCCTATTGAGAATAGACAACTTAGAGAGGAATATAAGTGAATTAATGGAACTGAAGAATACAATACAGGAACTCCGAGAAGTATGCACAGGTTTAAACACTCGAATTGTTCAAGCAGAAGAAAGGATATCAGAGGTCAAAGTCCAACTTAATGAAATAAAACAAGAAGACAAGATTAGAGAACAAAGGATAAAAGGGAATGAGCAAAGTCTCCAAGAAATGTGGGACTATGTGAAAAGACCAAATTTACGTTTGATAGGTGTACCTGAAAATGCGACGGAGAGAATGAATCCAAGCTGGAAAATACCCTCCAGGATATTATTCAGGAAAATTTTCCTAAACTAGCAAAGCAGGTCAATATTCAACCCCAGGTAATACAGAGAACACCACAAAGATATTCCTTAAGAAGAGCAACCCCAAGGCACATAATCGTTAGATTCACCAGGGTTGAAATGAAGGAGAAAATACTAAGGGCAGCCAGAGAGAAAGGTCAGGTTACCCACAAAGGCAAGCCTATCAGACTTACAACACATCTCTCAGTAGAAACTCTACAAGCCAGAAGAGAGATATTCAACATCCTCAAAGAACAGAACCTTCAGCCCAGAATTTCATATCCAGCCAAACTAAGCTTCACAACTGAAGGAAAAATAAAATCTTTTACGAACAAGCAAGTACTCAGAGATTTTATTACCACCAGGCCTGCTTTACAAGAGCTTCTGAAAGAAGCATTACACACGGAAAGAAACAACCAGTATTAGCCTTTCTAAAAATATACCAAAAAATAAAGAGCACCAACATAAAGAAGAATTTACATCAATGAATGGATAAAACAGCCAGTTAACATCAAATGGCAGTAACCCTAAATTTAAATCGACTAAATCCCCCAATCAAAAGATACAGCCAAAACCCAACAGCATGTTACATACAGACCTGTTTCACATGCAAGGATACACAAAGACTCAAAACAAAGGGATGGAGAAAGATTTACCAACCAAATGGAGAGCAAAAATAAATAAATAAATAAAAAGCAGGAGTTGCAATTCTCGTATCGGATAAAATAGATTTTAAAGCAACAAAGATAGTGGTAAAAGGATCAATGCAACAACAAGAGCTAACGATCCTAACACCCAGATACATAGAGACTTAGATTCAATGAGACAGAAAATTAATAAGTATATCAAGGACTCGAACTCAGATCTGGAATAAGTAAACTTAAATATTTATAGAGCTCTCCACTTCAAATACACAAAATATACATTCTTGTCAATACCACATCACACCTCCTCATAGGTTTAAATGAAACATTGACTGGCCATTATTAATACCCATTTTTTTTCAGAATAAAGAATATTTCCATTCACCCTCCCTCTTTCTCTTTCTTCCTCTCCTTTACTCATTTTTTTTCTTTCCTTCTCTCAAAAAAAAAAAAGAAAAAAATAAAAATAAAAAAAGAAATCAACTTGTAAACCTCTAGATCCAGGTCGGCAATGTCTCTCTCATTGCTTGATTTCCTTCCTTCCCTTCCCTCCCTCCCTCCCTCCTTCCCTCCCTCCCTCCTCCCTCCCTCCTTCCTTCCTTCCTCCCTTCCTCCCTTCCTTTCTCCTTCCCTCCCTTCCTCCCAAAAAAAAAAAGAAGAGCTTATATTTCTTGAGTACTGACTATGTACCAGGCATTGTATAAGCATGTACATGTATTACATTGATCCCTCATAACAACCATATAAAGTAGGTGCTTGTTTGCTCCATTTTACAAGTTGGAAACTAAGATAGGAAGGAGTTAAGGTACTTGCTCAAGATCAAAGGGTGGAGCCTGAATTTGAAGGACAGAGATTATCTTCTAGCCAAAGACGTCTAGCAGTAAAACATTTTGGCCTCCTCTCCCTCTGTTGCTTAGCCTCTAAGCCATTGGAAGTGGTGGTTCCCAGTCTACTGGCTACAGGATTAGTGCAAAGGGACTGACTACAGATACTTCTGTGAACCAAGCATTGCATGTGGCACGCAGCGCCCATTAAATATCCATTATATTGTTATTAGATAAAATAAGCTGGGCACAGTGGCTTATGCCTGTAATCCCAGCATTTTGGGAGGGCAAAAAGGGCGGGATCACCTGAGGTCAGGAGTTCAAGACCAGTTCTGGCCAAGACGGTGAAACCCCATCTCTACTAAAAAAATAGAAAAATTAGCTGGGCATGGTGGTGTATGTCTGTAATCTCAGCTACTTGGGAAGCTGAGACAGAAGAATCGCTTGAACCCAGGAGGTAAAAGTTGCAATGAGCTGAGATTGTGCCACTGCACTCCAGAGCAAGACTTGGTCTCAAAAAAAAAAAAAAAAAAAATTAAAAAGTCTTCTATATTGTGTACTACCATTTTTTTTTAAATGCTGATAGCTCCTGTTGAGGTAACTAACTTGTAATTTCATTTCACAATGAAACCAAATTTGTCTACATACATCTTCTCCATCACTGGATGCTAAGTATATGGATACTAAGTGTATAGATACTTTCATGTGGAGTAAACATGGGCATGTTTTATTGTTAAAGCCTCTTAAACTGAAAAAAATTCTAGCTTAGTGTACTTGTTGAAATTACAGATTATGAAACCCACTTTAGACCTACCGAATCAGAATCTCTAAGAATAGGGCCTAGGGATTTTTTTAAATTTTTTTCTTTTTTCTTTTTCTTTTTTTTTCTTTTTTTGTGGAGAAAGGGCCTCACTACATTGCCCAGGCTGGTCTCAAACTCCTGAACTCAAGCAGTGCTCCCACTTCAGCCTCCTGAGGGCATCTGTCTTTTTTTTTTTGAGACCAAGTCTTGCTCTGTCGCCAGGAGCCAGGCTGGAGTACAGTGATGCAATCTCAGCTCACTGCAATATCCACCTCCTGGGTTTAAGCAATTCTGTTGCCTCAGCCTCCCAAGTGGCTGGGACTATAGGTGCACGCCACCACGCCCATCTAATTTTTGTATTTTTTAGTAGAGGCGGGGTTTTACCACGTTGGCCAGTATGGTCTCAATCTCTTGACCTTGTGATCCGCCTGCCTCAGCCTCCCAAAGTGCTGGGATTACAGGTGTGAGCCACCACGCCCGGCCTTAACAAGCTCATTCCAAGGGATTTTGTTATGCAGCCAGATTTTGCCACCAGTACTCCAGGCTCCCCTGAATCACTTGACTTTGTTGTTCCAAGATGATCTCCACCTGGTAGTCTCTGAGAGCAGTGAGGGCAGCTGAACGCTAGACCCATGTCAACCCCAACTCCCTGATGGTGGCTGCAGGGTGGAGCTGAGCCATATCCTGGCTCACTGGGAAACGTTTTGTAATCAGAGATAACTGCCGTGGATTCTGGGGATTAGTGTCACTACATACCTTCTCTTTGACCTGAGGAAGGATCTGTCCATTGACTATTTTTCATGTGTTTTTCCTTTCTAGTTAAAAACTTCTTCAGAATCAGTTTCAAGAACGGATCCCAAAGTCAGACCCACTCACTACAAGCCAATGACACCTTCAACAAACAGCAATGGCTTAACTGTATTCGTCAAGCCAAAGAAACAGTTTTGTGTGCTGCTGGGCAGGCTGGCGTGCTTGACTCCGAGGGATCATTCCTAAATCCCACCACTGGGAGCAGAGAGCTACAGGGAGAAACAAAACTTGAGCAGATGGACCAATCAGACAGTGAATCAGACTGTAGTATGGACACGAGTGAGGTCAGCCTCGACTGTGAGCGCATGGAACAGACAGACTCTTCCTGTGGGAACAGCAGGCATGTTGAAAGCAACGTCTGACAGAAGCATGCAAACTTCAGGAAGCAGGCCTGCATCTTACCTGTACAGTATTTGCATTCCGCAGATGGAACGGTTTGGAAAAGCACTTTTATATACTTTTGTGACCATGTTGGCCCAGTCTCTTGTATCTGTACCTAGTACTGTAACTGCCAACCTATCTGTGTAAGCTGGAATCTGTGGCAACTGTTACCCTGTGTTGTATTTCACAAGTGTTTGGATGGATGGAGAGGTACTCAAACAAGTTACTTTCAATTGTCCTGCTGGATTAAAAAAAAAAAATAGAAAAACAATCCCTAAACTACTGTTTTACGTAGATTGCTTGAAGAGTCCTTCCTCTTGTGCTTCTCTAGTGCTTTCCCAGCTCTTTGATGTGGTGGCTAAGAATTTGGAGGGCCTTGTAAATAGGGCGTGAGAAAGTCACCTGTGTATCGGGATGGTACTAGAGAGAAAATCAGGAAAGACCAGCCCATGAAGTGAACGTGGTTTGATCTTATTCAGCTAGAAAGCTTGAAAACATCCCTGGGGATTCTGAAGGCTTAATTTTGCAAAGGAGGATGCATTGTCTGAACCTTGCAGTGTAATCCAGTGCAAGTTTGATGCAAGAATTTATTAGGACATAAAATAAAGACTGACCTTAAAAGGGTCAGGACAAAAGCAGCTGCCGGTTCTGAATCTTTAACTGAAATGCATGTGGCACCAGGAGATGTCTCTCATAGTTGGTGGCTAGCCTAAAACATCCAAATAGAACCCAAAGGGCCTAGGGAAGCCTGCCCTGCCAGGGTAACAAGAAGGCCCTGTCTTCATTGTGTTTCATCTGCCTAGGCCTACTCATATTTTAGAGAATGAATGAAGCAACAAGGAAGAGAGACCGTGACTCTATCAATGACACTGTTTACAGAAACACAGGAGAGGAATAATTTGGAATGAGAAGCATTTCGTCAGAACCTTCTATGGGCACCATTAAGAGAAAAGCGTGGTCCAGTGTCTTCTGAAAAAGGCCAGAGCCTTGGGCTTTCCTGCTCTGTTTTTGAGTCATCAGTTTGTCATCTCTGGTTCTGTGCTATAACCAGAATTGTAATTACATTCTCCAGAGGCCAATTTCATTAACTCTGATTAATTAGGATCAGCTAGCCAAATTAGTAACCTCTTTGTCCAGCCTTGATTTACAGTACAGGGTAAAGTGCAGACCTTAAAAAAAGCTAACTAAGTATGTAGAAGAGCTCCCTGCAAGTGTAAATATTAAGAATGACCTGTGCAAAATTACCCACACCAGCACTAGTAGTGATTCTAAATTATTGCCAAAAAGTTTTTTTTTAATCTTCTGTCTTTCAAGTTTACAGATAAGTAAGCAGTAAACGCATTGATGTCATTTTATTATGTACATATATCATGTGCATTCAAAGAAGGTGTGTGACAAGATATATCAATATAAAAACAAGGTATATTACTTTATTATTTTTTAAAAACAAAGATATTGTGGTCAGTTTTACCCTGTAAAACATATTTCTCTATTTATAGATCTTAAACATGGTGAATTTTTTCTATTACAAGTTTATTTAAAACTGCTTTGTTTCTCAAGTTGTTATTGATACAGCAAGTGAACCTGCTGCAGACAGAAGCAGAGGAAAGCCAAGAACAGCCTTTTAATGGTGAAGAAAAGAATGAATGATTCTTTGTAGGAGCCATCAGCCACTTTGTAGGACCCATCAGCCAGTGTGCTGGGAAAAGAGGTTTGTCACATGTTGGCCTATGGGAAGAAAGTCAATGAATGTTTTGATGAAATGAATGTTTTTGTATAACAGCCTTAAACTTTTCTGGAAGTATTTCAAATAAATTGCATTAAAATGTCTTCCTCCTTGTGTGCAGTGTTTGCCCTACAAACAAAATACAGGTTTCAGCTGTGCTGCTGGGGAGGTTCTTCCTGAAATTTTTGTTTGTGGTTCCTGAATACAAAGTTTAAAATATGGTGCAGATTGATATAAATACTTTTATTTGGTCTCTCAAAACTTTGCAGAATTCATTTTTTTTTCTTTTGAAACAGGGTCTCACTCTGTCACCCAGGCTGAAGTGTGGTGGTGTGATCGTAGCTCACTGCAGCCTCAAACTCCTGGGCTTACACAATCTTCCTGCCTTTGCCTCCCAAGTAACTGGGATTACAGCTGCACACCACCACATCTGGCTAATTTTTAAATTTTTTTGTAAAGATGGAAATCTCACTATGTGGCCCAGGCTGGTCTTGAACTCCTGGCCTCAAGTGATCCTTCTGCCACAACCTCCTAAAGTGTTGGGATTATAGGCATGAGCCACTGAGTCTGCCTAGGAACTCATAATTCTAAAATCTGTTTTCTCAAGCATTCTCTATTCATTTACTTACTCATGTGTTCATTTTTAATAACTATCTGGAATTCATACTATGTATAAAGTCAAGTGATAAGTCATAGTTGTTATAGAAAAGAAATGTTGACTCTCACTGCTGATATAGGCAACTGTTGAAACTTGAGGCTAAATAAAAGAAGGCAAATTTCACTTGGAAATTCTTACTGGAATTTTAGTCTACTTTAATTCAAATGATTAGTAGTACTCTTTCTAGGCTGAGTGCAGCGACTACACCTCTATTCCTAGCAGTTTGGAGGCCAAGGCAGGTGAACTGCTTGAGCCCAGGAGTTCAAGACCAGCTCGTTGGGTCCAGCCCACAGACCCTGACTGAGCAATGGATGAAAGACCAGACTGATACAGATATTTTGCCTGTCAGCATGGCTAAGGGGCTCTGCTCCCAGAATCAGCAGCTGCCCCATAAGTTTCCAGCAACCTTTGACAAAGTAAACACTGTTAGAGGGTAATTAACTTTGCTGACCCCCCCCACCCCCAAGTAGAGAGCAGTCATGCACCCAAAGAATATCAAAGATTGGTCTTAGGACCAATTGAGTAAATAAGCTATTTAGATAAACTCCTCTACATTCCTTTGTATCTACTCCTAGATGTTAGCGCAAGGTAAGGGAGTTAGGTTGCTTTCAGCCATAACCTCTTTCCCAAGGCTTTTGCAAAACCTTCTGGCCTTCTAAGAAGGTTTGCATTTTCTAAAATTTCTCCCACCATCCTAACTCAACTCCTACACCAGCCTAGGCAACATGGCAAGATCTCGTCTCTACAAAAACACAAAAATTAGCCAGGCATGGTGGCATGCACCTGTAGTTCCAGCTACTTGGGAAGCTGAGTTGGGATGATTGCTTGAGCCCAGCAGACAGAGGTTGCAGTGAGCTGTGATCACACCAGTGCACTCCAGCCTGGGTGACAGAGAGAGAACCTGTCTCAAAAAAAAAAGATTAGTACTCTTTCCCACAAAGAGTAGTTTTGTTGTTGTTTTAAAGGCAGGCTTTCTCCATGTTGGTCAGTCTGGTCTTGAATTCCCAACCTCAGGTGATCCATCTGCCTCAGCCTCCCAAAGTGCTGGGATTACTGGCGTGAGCCACTGTGCCTGGCCTAAGAGTAGTTTTTTCTTAGATGAAAAGGCTAAACATTTTTAATCTGTTAGTAGTCAATTCGCAATAGCAGATTGGCCCAATAAAATTGGTAGTTAGTCTTATCTTTACAGTAAGCTGTCACCATTCTCTTTAACATATTGTTACTTCCCAGATTTGGCAAGATATTCACATAAATAAATGTAAGTCTTTATTTTTTTCCTAAATGCAAACTCAATTTTCCTCATTCTCCTATTTTTCTTCTTCCTCCTCCTCCTCCTCCTCTTTTTCATCCATCCTCTTTTGTCACTTCTGCTTTGGCTATTCCCTCCATTTTTCACTCCTATAATTGTACTGACTGTTGATCCTAGAGGATGTATCTTTACAGTATATTAGAAAATGTTTATACTGACATTTTGTGGGTTAGTACAAATGACTGAGGGCTAAATGGTTTTCTTCAGTCAGTTTTCAAGATGTTATTTCACACACAACTAAATGTAATCCTTGCAGTCTAAATGAAAACTCATAAGCAGTGAACAGAGCCAGAACTAGTAATTTTGTATAAAATTAGAGCGTGGTTTCAGTTTCTGGGTTGTGGTTGCCACCACTGACTGCTTTAATTTCCATTCCCAGTACAATCTGCAACAGCTAAGAATGCACAACTCTTCAAAACCACAGCCCTGTTTCAATACAGACTGTGTGGCTGCAGGAAACTACAACCTACCATCTTGGTGAAGAAGCTTTTCAACTTTCTATTTACATTCTGTCCATGTCCATTTTTTACTAATCCTTCCAAAGCCCAAGATGTGGTGAAGAGACTGTCTGGCCAATCCATTTCACTTAGGTCAGTTTACTCCACCTGGCTCCCTTTGGCATGGAGGAAATAGGCACTGAATACCCCCCCTTACTGATGCAGTCAGTTCAATTAGTTCACACTGTCTTGTTTATTGACAGAACTCTAGAGCTACACTATTGGAAGGGAAGAGGGCTCCCTAAGCGTAAAACTAAAAGTAGAAATCTGAAGATATCAAAATTTAAAACCTTCAGATGAGCACACAGTGAGAAAAGATGACCGTATTCACTGTACCTCAAGGGTGTTTAGGGAAACAAGTTAAAAAAAAGTCACTTCTCATGACATCTCCTTTCTCCAGTCTTGTTTCACATATCAGTCAGCTCTGCACAGACCTACTCAGTCAAGGCAGTTTTCAGTTGATCTGAGGGAATAGCAAGGAATTAGAAGTCATGCACTGTATCTCTGAGAGCTAATCACTTAGCTTAGGAAATTGGACATACATTACAAAGCTTGTCCACTTATACATTTATGTTCACATGCAAACATACCTATGTATTAATGAACTGTGCTCTCTCTCTGAAAGGTTGAAAAATCACATCCTGCAAGTTTTTATTCTCTATTGCCATGTCTGTGACATGGAGCACTGGTCCCCCTCAAGCCCATTTAAAACTGAGACTGTATGTGAAATCACTTTTTTTTTTAGGCAGAATCTCACTCTGTTGCCAGTGAGTGCAGTGGCACAATCTCCGCTCACTGCAATCTCTGCCTACCGGGTTCAAGCCATTCTCCTGCCTCAGCCTCCAGAGTATCTAGAGTTACAGGCGCGTGCCACCATACCCAGCTAATTTTTTTGGATTTTTAGTAGAGACAGGGTTTCACCATGTTGGCCAGGATGGTCTCGATCTCCTGACCTCGAGATCCACCCTTCTGAGCCTCCCAAAGTGCTGGGATCACAGGCATGAGCCACCATGCCCAGCCATGAAATCACTTTTAAAAAAATTACTAAGAGCTAGTAATTTTCATTGTTATTTAATAATCACTTTTAAATTTATATATGTTGGCCAGGCATGGTGGCTAATGCCTGTAATGCCAGCACTTTGGAAGGCCAAGGAGGGCAGATCACTTGAGGCCAGGAGTTCAAGACCAGCCTCGTCAACTTGGTAAAACCCTGTTTCTACTAAATATATGGAAATTAGCCTAGCCTGGTGGCGCGTGCCTGTAATCCCAACTACTGGGAGGCTGAGGCATGAGAATCACTTGAACCTGGGATGTGGAGGTTGCAGTGAGCAGAGATAGCACCACTGCATTCCAGCCTGGGGAACACAGACTCTGTCTTGAAAAAATTACAAATTAAAAAAAAATTGTACATGTGAAATTTCTCAAAAGTGTGGCCTTGGCCTGGGTCTTTTTCATTCATTGTACTATATACCTGGGGAGATGTTTCAATTCAGATAATTTGGAAGTTATTCTTGTATTTTTTTTTTCTTACATATTTTCATTCCCACAATTTTCTGTTTTCTCTTTCAGGAATTCCAGAAAGAGAGATGAACCTGGATTTGATGCCTTAACTTCTGGATTGATTTTCAAATATTCTTAATCTCTTTATTCTTCTTATTTATTTATATTTTGTTGAATTCTCAGGGAGATTTCCTCACCTTTGTCTTCAGATCCTTCTATTAATTTGAGGAGAGGGTTGCCATCACAGTTTTTTTGGTTCTCGTTTTGTTTTTCTTGAGACAAGTCTTGCTCTGTCACCCAGGCTGGAGTGCAGTGGCGCAATCTCGGCTTACTGCAACCTCCACCTCCCAGATTCAGGTGATTCTCCTGCCTCAGCCTCGAAAGTAGCTGGAACCACAGGCAAATGCTACCACACCCAACTAATTTTTGTATTTTCAGTAGAGACGGGGTTTCACCAAGTTAGCCAGGATGGTCTTATCTCTTGACCTCATGATTCTCCCTTCTTGGCCTCCCAAAGCGCTGGGATTACAGGTGTGAGCCATCAAGCCCAGCCTACAGTTTTTATTGCTTAAAGTTTTTCCTTTTTCTATCATTGTTCCTATACTTAAAGCACCCCTATTTTTATTTGATGAAGGCGGTATCTTCTCTGAACTCTCAGAAATGTCACAGTTCAGTTGAATTTTCCTTCCCCTTGCATTATCTGGAGGTAATAATGGTAATTCATGGAATTTGGGGGAGGACTAAATGTGCTAATACATCGAAAGTACTTAGAATGATGCTATGCCAGATATTTTTGTTTACTTCTCCAAACCACACCCTGATTCACCCTTCAGTGTGTACTTAATTATGGGCATTCCTGCCTGGCATTTCTGGTTTGGTTTGGCCCAATGAAAATCTTCTCATGAGATCAGTGAGAGGGAGAAGAGCGAGTTTAGAGCATTCATTCCCCCAGCTTCCTCCAGAAGGTTTGCTTTGAGCTGGTTGCATCTCTTGTCATGAGGTCACAGCTTCTCTCAAGGAGTCCTCTCTGAATTCCTGTAACCATTCTAGCCTACTATGGTAACAGCCCACTGTCACTAGCCCAGGATGTTGTATTGTACCTATACACTGCCCAAACTTTGTGTATTGTCCCTGTATTAA